GATCAGTCCAACCTCTCGCTAGAAACAACCAAAAATGCTGGCTAACAATTTTTTTGACGTCTTAACAGCATCGAAGAGCTGTCAAGATAGTAAGAAACGAAAGTCCCAAATCAAAGGAAAACAAGACCTCTTTTAGTGGCATCCATCCTACCGCTGTTTTTGAACTAAGGACATTTGCCAATTTGGGCAAACTTGACTTTTGGTTCTGAGGGCTTCTCAGGACAGGGGACAGAATCAAAGCCCAGGGCACACCCCTCCCGTGACTAATAAGGGTCAAACCCTCAGGGCAAGGGTGAGACAAAGTGAATGTGCCTCTACCCTCAGGCCCAGGAGGCCACAGGAAATGTTGCCATTATCATGCGCGGAGCAGGAGGGGGAAATGGTAGGGAACTGCTCTAAAAAGTTACCCCAGCGAATTGGTACTTTCACAGCGTCCAAATCTACGGTATATTGCTTTGGTGATCAAATAAATAAACAACATTAACAAAACTATAAAACCATAAAAACCTGTCAAGTTGTGAATTTAGTTTAAAGTAAAGGGAAGTTCTTTCTGGAGGAAATTAGTGTCATCCTGGGCTTCAAAGAATTCCCCTGAAGAAAATTTCAACAACAATGAGCAGCTGAGCTCTCTCTCCAGGGAGCTTGCCTGTGGCTTTCCCCGCCCACTCTTCTCCCCCCAGGCACATTACCTTTACCTTTCTCTCCCTTAAGCTACAAGGGCCCTTCTTTTGCCTCTGAAACTTGTTTCCTGAGCCCATTTCGTCTACAGCTCACTTCTTCTATCTCTGTGACTTTCTAAATAAACTTTCTCTTATAGTTTGAAAACAAGAACAATGAGCAGCATACAGTAAAAACAAAAAAACTAAGCCTACGATGACATAAACCATCAAGAATGAGAACTAGAAAAAAGAGACCTCCAAAGACTTCAGATTTTGAAATTATTAAACAGAGTGTATAAAAGCAACTATGCTTACTTCGGAAATATATGTGCATAAAAGGAAATGACCTAGCAAGTTTGAAAAAGAACCAAATAGAATGTCTCAAAATAAAAAATACAGTAACCAAAATCTAAAACTCAATAGACATGTTTAAGCAGTTTAGATACAACTAAAGAGAGAATTGAGAACTAAAATATAGACCAGAATAAGTTATTCAGCATATAACACAGCAAATATAAAAGAGAGGCTAAGAGATATGGAAAACAATGAAAATATCTAGCATTCATTTAATCAGACTCTCAGAAGGAGAGAAGAGAAGGGCTTGGATAAAGGTAATATTTGAAGAGATAATGACTATGAATTTTCAGAACTGATCATCTTATTTATTAAAAACAGGTCTTCACTTTTACACTGTATGTTTATATGCTGTTTGAATTTTTTTTTTAAATATCTTTATTGATTTTTAGAGAGGAAGGGAAAGGGAGAGAAAAATAGAAACATCAATGATGAGAGAGAATTATCCTGACCTCCTGGTTCATAGGTCGACACTCAACCTGAGCCATGCCAGCCAGGTTACCTACCACCTCTGTTTTAATTTCATTTATCCATCTCCCGACCCTGCCCAAATAATGTTTATGGAGCACTTGCCTTGTACCATGTCCTTTGCTATGAATGAATAAAGGGGACAGATTCAAGAGACATTCAGGAGGTAGAGCTGAATGGACTTGGTAACCCGTTGATTCAGGGTTGAGGTAATTACCAGATTTCTAGCACCTGCTAATAATGATGGCGGATAATAATAGCATTAGCCAAGTTTGAGGAGACCAATAGAGCAGGTTGTGAGGTAAAGATATTGGGAATTTTATTTTGATTTACTGAGTTTGAGGTGCCTGTGGTACATCTAGGTGGAGATTTCTAATGGGAAGATGGAAATTTGGTTCTGAAACTCAGAAGAGAAATGAGATGTGGACCTGGGGATTATAGAAGCCATAAAAATATAAATGGAGCCGAAATCGGTTTGGCTCAGTGGATAGAGCGTCGGCCTGCGGACTGAAAGGTCCCAGGTTCAATTCCGGTCAAGGGCATGTACCTGGGTTTCAGGCACATCCCCAGTAGGAGGTGTGCAGGAGGCAGCTGATAGATGTTTCTCTCTCATCGATGTTTCTAACTCTCTATCCCTCTCCCTTCCTCTCTGAAAAAAATCAATAAAATATATTAAAAAATATATATATATATATAAATGGAGGTTGAAGCCAGAGGAGTGTGTGGGATGGCCCAATCGATGAATATGTTGAAGTATGGTAGCAATCATCTCAGGTAGAAACTATAGTTTAACTCTAACCCTGTTGTTTGTCTTAACAATAGAAAAGTTATTTTGATTTTCTGGATTGTATAAATCATCCCATTCGATTGAATGACTACCCTATTGATTGTAATGTGAAATCCCATTTGTAGTGGTCATACTGGTCTTAGAAAGCACATTTTCCTTTACCTGGGAAGGGCAGCACAGTTATCCTAAGGTCAGAGGGCTCCAGTTAACGTGTCCCTGTTGACTCAGTGTTCCGGGAGACCCAAGACTGTAATTTAGATAACATGCTTAAGTCTGACCAGGTTCCTCATTCCAGACCCGAGGGCTCTAGATAATGTGTTTCCGTCAATTCAGCGATCTGGAGACCCAAAACTGTAATTTAGATAACATGCTGCTTCTGCTTCTGTAAACTGCTTTTTTGCGAACCAGGTTCCTCATTCCAAACCCTGGGATGTAATCAATACCTTTGTGATTTTTGCCTATATAAACCTGGTTTTTCGACTATCTTGTTACTATGAGATTTGGGAATGACCCTTCATAGTCCCGGATTGCAATAAATGTGACTCTTTAATTCGACTTCTTGAGGCGTCCTTCTGTGATTCACGGGATACATTACAACAATGTTTGTTGAATCTACTTGAAAGAATGAGTAGTATGCTCACCAAAGTGCCATTTTCCTTAGCATATATTTTGTGCCTACATTAAAAATGTTTCCATAAAATATCTTCCTTTATCCCAAATCATATTGATCTCAGAGTAACCATTAATGACTTGAGTACATGTAATAGCTTCAATTTTACCAAAGTCATTTAAGAATGAGAGACATGTGGAAAATTTATTAGAGTATTCTGACAAGCAAATCTTGTACCTGGATACCCATTAAGTAAAAAGTTTGCAGCAAATATTTAATGCAATGGCAAGAGTTCTGATGATGTCAAAACACACTCTGCTCAGATAGAAATTCAGTAAGAAACTTATTAAAATTATCAGCATAAATAAAAAATTTCTGTTTAAATTTTTTTAAATATTTTTTTATTGATTTCAGAGATGAAGGGAGAGGGAGAGAGAGATAGAAACATCAATGATGAGAGAGAATCACTGATCGGCTGCCTCCTGCACCCCCCCGACTGGGGACCGAGCCCACAACCCAGGCATGTGCCCTGGACCAGAATCATATCTGGGACCCCTCAATCCACAGGCTGATGCTCTTATCCACTGAGCCAAACCCGCTAGAGCTGATGTTTAAATTTTTTATCTAACATTGTGATTTTCAAAACATACCTGGGAGGTTTAAGACCCTTTGAAGCTAGAATTTTAGAATTTTTAGCCCTGGAAGAAAACTTAGAGGTAATGTAATGTAAACCTTTACATTTTCAATTAAAGACTAAAGAGAGAATGCCATGCCATAGCCACTCAACCTGGAAGAAGTGCCCAGGATTCTCGATCCCTAGAGCATTCTTTTCTCTTCACATCCTTCCACCAATCTTGCTGAAGTTCCAGGATAAAAATGACCTAAACTTCAGCTGTCCAAATGAAAGCTTTTAATTTACTCATGAATTTAATGCATATCTGTGTCACTTGGAGCTAGATAAGAATAAAAAGCCAAGTCTGATTAACATTCTTCCTTTGCTTCATTCTGTCTCAGGCATCTTGGCAGAATGCATTATCCATGTCCCACAAGGACAGAAGTGGGGGATAGGACAATGACAAGACTTTGATCTCAAGTAGTGATGGATGCCAGATTTAGCAAATAAAAATAAGACAATGCCCAGTTAAATTTGAATTTCAGATAAATAATAAATAATTTTTTTAGCATAGGTATGTCCCATACAATATTTAGGACATACTTTCCAAAAAAAATATTCATTGTTTTTCTGCAATTAAAATTTAATTGGGAGTCATGTATTTTATCTGGTAACCTTAATCTTAAAGTCAAGAACACAGACTTTCATGCACTTAGATATGAATGAGGCAGATGAAGTTAGACCCACTACAGATAGCTGATGTTTTACAAAATTGCAAATTTTAAGTCATCGTACAACCTTTAGCTAGATTCCCTAAGAAAAAGAGGCAGCTCAAATAAATAAAATCAGAAATGAAAGCGAAGTTACAGCTGATACACAGAAGTACAAAGGACCATGAAAGACTACCATAATCAAATACACACCAACAAATTGGACAACCCAAAAGAAATGGATAAATTCCTAAAACATACACTCTTCCAAGATTGAACCATGAAGTAATACAAAATCTAAATAGATCAATTACTAGCAGGGAGATTGAACCAGTAACCAAAAACCTCCCCAAAAAGCAAAAGTCCAGGACCAGACAGCTTCACTGGTGAATGCTACCAAACACTTAAAGAACAGTTAATACATATCCTCCTCAAACTCTTCCAAAAACCTGAAGAGGTGAGAACCCTTGCAAACTCATTTTACGAAGCCAATATTATCCTGATATCCAAACCAGACAAACACACACACACACACACACACACACACACACACACACATTACAGGCCAATATCCTTGATGAACATAGAGTCAAAAATCTTCAACAAAGCTAATATAATGTTATATGCCAATATTAACTCAATAAACTATTCTTCAAATCATCCTAGGATCTGCTACTGTTTTTGCAGAAGTGAAGGCGGTGTCCTGCCGTGCCATTGCCATCCCCACTCCGTGTAGTATAATGTGACACTGATACTCCACGAGATGAGCAGGAACGGTGGTGACGGGGGTGGGAGGTACGGACGGACACAGTCTCCAGCACTGCGTTCTAAAGCAGCCGTGCCCTCTCCTGTGTTCTTAATAGCGTAGACCGATTTTGCAGGCACAGAATCAAAATTCATTATGTAATCAGTGATTACAAAACCAAAGCTAAAATGCAGAACAATACAATGTTTCATTACAGAAAACCATGAAAAAGAAGCCTTCTGCAAGACAGTGTCTCGCCCTCACGTCCAAGGCGATGGCCTGCATGTAAGCCTCATTAAACAACAAGGCTGAGCATGAACGTCTCACCAGGCAGCGAGGAGACGCGTCACAAAACCAGGGCTGATAAGGGCCATGAAGGGCCAGCTGTGTGCCAGCATATTAACAGAGTTTGGTCACACGCTCAGTGGCAGCAAAATGTCATATCAACACCAACTCTATGAGTAAATTTCAAGTTCAGCCACAGTGGCCATACAGCAGTGCCAAAACCTGGCTGAGTCTAGGTATGACATGACCTCCCCACGTGGCTAGGTGTCCTTGGTTGGAAGTGGTGGGAGTGATGGCAGCAGTGGCAGTGGGAGTCGAAACCTGGATTCAGAGAGTGAATGAGCCTTACTGACGTCTGTGTATTGACAAGTCACCCTGTGATCCCGACCTGACGTCGTGCGTGTCTGATCCTTTGAATCACACGTAGGGTCCTAAACACAGCCCAGGTGAGAAGAACCCAGGCTTCCTCCTGCCACTGTGGGCTTCTCAGAGAGAGAGCCCTTCTGCTTGGCCTCTTGGCCTCTTTTGCAAGAAAGATAAGGCGTTAAGCTTCCCTCTGGGGAGCCCTGGTTGATGTAGGGCAAGGCAGAACTGTATCTGGTAGTCACTCAGCAGAATGGTGTGCACCTGTGTCTGTCTGCGTGTCCCTTGTTGAGCGCCTTCTGTGTACCAGGCCCCATGCAGCATGCACATCGCCACGATGGCAGAACTTTCAGGTAAGAAACTGAGAGCTAGTCATTCCCACCAGGGAGGGTGGAGCTAGGACTGAGGCCTCTCTGGCTCCAAAGTTGAGGCCTCTTCCAGCAGGCCACCCCACCTTCAGGTGGGAGTCTATCCACCTTCAGACCTTTCATTCCCCATCCTTGTGATGCTGTACGTTCGGAACAATTTTCTCGGCTTTAGTCTCTGGGTTTCAACTCCACAGTGCCAGCAGCGACATGGTGCAGAGCCTGCCCACCAGGACTGGATGGGGGAGTAGGAGCTGCAAAGTTTGACAAGAGCCAAGGTGATAAGAGCACCATGAAATGCCAGCCGTGTGCCAGCAGATTAGCAGAGTTTGGTCACACGGTGAATGCCAAGGTGACAAGAGCAAGAGCAGAACTACTCCTGTCGATGTAAGAAGGTCCAAGCCTGTAGAGAATTGTTAGAAGAGTTTATTTGAGCCAAACTGACAACATATGCCGGGGAGCAAGATCTCAGATGCTACGGAGACCAACAGTTTTGTCGTTTCTTGGATGCATTTGAAATGAAGGAGGGGATGTAAGGAGTATTACCTGATGGTGGGAGAGAGCAAGGCAGGCATGGATTACAGGATAAGGAGGGGTCTGAGAAAAAGGCACTCAAAGGTGTGTTAATCCAGACGCATGGAAAGAATGGACGGGGCCTGCTATAGGCCTGGGGTGTGACTACGCACATGACCCGCCTACTTAGGAATTTACGACCAGATGGCCCGGTGAGGTTACTTTCTATAGAACCCCCTTTTCGTCCACACTCCTAATTCAAGTGTTTTTAGTTATGAATTCTAGTTTTAATTTCCTGAGCATTGAAAGTCCCAGGCATTGTTGCAAGCACCACACACACTTTATCTGCCTTAGTGCTTCCAGCAACCCCAAAGGCACAGGTCCCGGATCCCTCACTAGATTTCACCCAGGTCCTGGTAGGCTTCAGAATGGTCCTCAATTCTGAAACAGTTCTGTGCACATACTGCTTTATTCATCCCCCCCCCTCCCCCCCTCCCCCCAGCAAGGTCTGGGACAGCATCATCAAATATGTTGATATTTCTGAGGCAAACATATGTGTAATCAGGCTTAATGAGATAAATAAAACTGTATAAAATTTCTCATCAGGTCGAGTCAGGTTTTGCCATCAAATGAATTTCCTGCAAGCTTAAAAAACATTCATTTTGCAGAGCTCTTTGGGTTTCAGAATTGCCAGTACAGGATTGTGGATCTGGAATGTTGTTATTCCCATTGTACAGATGAGAAACTGAGGTTTAGAGATATTAAGAACCTAGCCAAGGTCAAACTGACCAGAATGTAGACCTAATTTGATTTCGTTCATACTGTCCTATGCTTTAACTCCTGCTTTCACTCCAAACCTCCACTGGCAGGAGGTAAAAATACTCAGATCGATCTAGTCTATTTCCATGAAAAACCATTTACTGCTGACATTCAAATACATTTACACTGGAAATGATTAATAGCCTTTCTTATAAACTGAAGGCTAGAGAGGTTTGTCAAAGACGTTAACAAAACCCCAGTCATGTTGGGGAGGGGAGGTGAAGGGCGTATGGCTTTCTCCTCACGAAGCAAAGACACTGTACTTTTCTGTTCTTCCCAACTCCTGCTTTCTTCTGTGGTCCCACTTCTGCTCTAATGGATCGGCGGCCCCTGCTTTCTGCTCACGTGGGCTCAGGAGCTGTTGGCGTCTCCCCCGCCAGCTTCTCCCGGGCCTGCTGTGCTTTCTAGCCGCCTCCTCTTTTCCTCAGTCCAGCCTCTCCTTGCCATGCCATCGGCCCCACCGTTCAAGGTTCTCACCAACCCTGTCATCCACTGATACCCTTATGTGAACCCAGTGCAAGAGCCGCCTGCTAACTGAATTGCAAGAAACAGGATCATTGCACCTGAACATCCTCAGTCTCATTCTAGAACGTAGAAGTTTGTCATTCCAGCTGAGGTCAAAGAGCCTGATTCAGGGGATTGTAGAGGATGGAAGTGAGGTGTACCTGTTAGTGTGTGTGTGTGTGTGTGTGTGTGTGTGTGTGTGATTGCTGCTTCACTACAGCTCCTGCCTCCTCCCAGTCACCAAGAATGTGGATACCTGGCCAGCTACTCAGCAAGACATCAGATTCCAGGAATCTGAGCAGAAAAACAGGAGCGAGTGACTTCTGGCCCTGGAATCTCTGCCATTTCAGCTGGGGCTGGGCCTTGACTAAATCATCGTCACTGGCTACCCACTCTGGATAATGAGGTGTGAGGTTGTGAGGAATTGACATGCACTTGGTTGAGTTTGTCTTTATATTTTTTCAATTAAGTATATTGTCCTTCTTTGGATATATTTGAAGCATATCAAACTTTGGTGGGCAGAGCAATTGCTGGTATTTGTTTAGGTTATTTGGAGTCTAGGCCTGGGGGAGTAAAAAAAAAAGGCAACCCAGAAAACTGAATAGAAAGTGGATCTGTCCCGTTTTAAAATTTTGTTTTTCCTCAGAGGTCTCTCTGCTTGTGAAATCCTGTTACCCCTGATGTTCTTATGAAAGATACTCTTTTGTTCTTCAAGTTATGAGAAAACAACCCATGGAGAGTGACGGAACGCCACTGATTTTCATTAAGAGCTGATGAATACTTGGGCCAGATCTCTTAGAGATCAAAGGAGAATAATGCATTTAAACTCAAAGTTCTTTTTTTTTCTTCAAAAGGACAGACCTCAGTGAAAACATGTATTTCCTAACCCAATAAAGAAATCTGACAATCTGTCCTACTAGCCAATTTACTAAATTTCATGTTTGTTGAAATCACAGATGCTGTGGCGAGTCTTGCCCTCCTTGTATTTTTTAGAACTCAAGCCAGTGAAATGCCAACAGGGGGCTCGTGGGCATGTTTGCTCCTGACAGGGAAGCAGCCCCTCATTTCTTCTTCATGTTCCGAGGTGACTGCGTATCCCCACACTCATACCTCCCCTCACTCACACCTCCCTCAGCGCCTCTCTTCCTCGCCTTTGATTCCAGCTCATGTTTTCTGCCCTTGACATTGCAGACTTGGTGACTCAGGGTTTCATTCTCAGTTTCCCTGTTTTCTTACTCTGGACACCGTCACTCTGTGCTGATCCATTGTTCTGCCTTGACTGCTCACCGAGGACCTGGACGCCCCCATGTATACCAGCCCCGCTGAGCTCCAGAGCTAAGAACTCAACTGCCTTCTCTTGCCTTCTCTATTGGAAGATTCCACAGGCACCTCCAACTCAACATGTCCCAAGTGCACTTATTATCCACGCCCACCCTTCTTCCTGCCACCACTGCCACCCCCCTCCTCCTCTTCCTCAGGCTGATTCATTCTTCAAGCTCCATTGATGAGCCTACCATTTACCCACCTTCCCAGCCAGTCATACCCAGGTCACCCTCTGTGACTTCCTCTCTCCTGGACAGTCAGGCATTCTGTTCTGTCAACTCTGCTTCCCATTCAGCGTGGGAGCCCTTCCTCTTCTCCACCCCACCACCACTGTGTCAGTGTGGGTCCTCTTCCTTTCTCAGCCCTGGGTTAGCCTCACTCCCATCCACACTAACCCTCACACCCAACCAGCCCTCGCACTGTGCTCTCTGCTAGAGCTAGCTTTCTCAAATGCAAATCTGATGTTTTCACGTCCCTAAAACTCTTCATGTGTTCCCCTTCATTTACAACAGAAACTCCTGCCCCCTTCGTGCTCTATTCAAGCCCCACTCCCCAACCCCATCCCCATCTCCACCCATATTCTGGTCCCACTGTCTACCTTTTCTCTTGCCATGTTTTACCTTACATGTTTAAATAATCTGATCCTTGAACATAGCATGTAGCTTTAAATCTTTGGGCCTCCATACATGAAATTCCTTCTATCTAGGAGAGTCTTTACCCTCCTCCACCTACAAGGCACCTACAGGGTTATTCATGTCAACAAACATTAATCAAGGGTCTACTATGTCCCTTAAGACTGTGCTAGGTAGTGGAGACAAAAATGAGAAGGCATGGTTCTTTCCCTCACCATCCAATTGAGACATAACTTCTTGAAGCTCCCTTTAAACATCCCCTCCGCATCTCCACCACTCAAGCATAACAGACCATTTTTTTCTTTCTACTTTGTACATATTTTTTTTTTTTAAATATATTTTATTGATTTTTTACAGAGAGGAAGGGAGAAGTATAGAGAGTTAGAAACATCGATGAGAGAGAAACATCGATCAGCTGCCTCCTGCACACCCCACACTGGGGATGTGCCTGCAACCAAGGTACATGCCCTTGACCGGAATCGAACTTGGGACCTTTCAGTCCGCAGGCCGATGCTCTATCCACTGAGCCAAACCAGTTAGGGCTTGTACATATTTTTTATTGCACTTACATGATATGACTTTGTTAACCAAGGCCCATCATTTTGGAGAGGAAGTGAGTAATTTAAGGACAATGTGGATATTGATGTCTGTGTGGTAGGCAGACTTCTAAAATGGTCTCCCAAGATTCCTGTCCCTTGGTGTGCATGCCTTCCTCATGGATGCGGGCAGGACTTGTGAATATGATGGGATTTTACTCCAATGAATAGGGCGAGATTTGAAGCAGCACAGATGATCTCCTACTGACCATGAAGTAAAACTGCTGTGCTGTGGAGAGAGCCACAGGGCAGGGAGCGATGGGTGTCTCTAGGAGCCGAGGGCCTCAGCCTTACGCAGTAACAGAATCTTACAACAATAACAACATGGGAACTTGGAAGAGGACCCCGGACCTTATGTGCAATCCTGGCTGACGTCTTGATTTTAGCCTCATGAGACGCTGAGCAGAGAGGCCCAGCTAAACTATGCCCAAACTTCTGACCTAAAGAGACTGTGAAACAATAAATGGGTATTGTTTTAAGCCACTAAGTGTGTGGTAATTTGTTATGCAGCAAGAAAAAACAAATGTAATCTGATAGGCAGATGCTTTCTGGTTACTATCCATGGGATATTGGACTTA